GTTGGAAGGAAAATAGTAGGGGAAACCAATAGCAACAGCATCAGGAGTTGACAGGAAGCAAGCAAGTTTCTACTCTTGCTGGTACTAGAGACTGAACTTAGGGCTGTGTTTATTCCAGGGGAGTGTTCCACCCCCAAGCTACATCTGCTGCATCTCCAGGTTTGATTTTGAGATAGTTTGGTTTGATTTGTTTGATTGGTTTTCTTTTTACTTTGGTGTAGACTCTTACTAACTTTCCCAGGTTGGCTTTGAATCAAAAATATAAGATTATAGGTTTGTGCCACCAGGCCCAGGATTCTATGAATGACTATTATGAAATTTAATTTTTTACAATAGCCCAGACAAGGAATGCAGTTCCCATTGAACAGATGAGGAAACTGAGGCTAGTAGTTTCGTGTAATGTCACCCAAAGTGATACAACTGGTAAATGGGGGGAAAAACAGGATTTGAACCAACATTTGTCTACCTGTGTCAGTCTCTGGCCACTACACACTCCCTTTTCCCTTACTTCTCCCCCAGAGCATTCTTCCCATTGGACAGTTTGGGTCTCATATGTGGAAATCCTCATTAGGATTGGTGAGAGAGGCCCCTTCTTTCCAATCCAAGAAAGAAATCCTCTGTACTCCATTTACAAAATCCTCTTGGCATTTGACCCTAACAATAACTAACAAGAGATGGGCTCCTACCTCCCTTTGCTGTTTGCAATGTCTGAGACATGCCATCCCCAACAGAGAATCAGTGTGTGCAGATCCAAATAACAGAAAATGAGTGAAGGATTGCTAGAAGTGGACAAGTTGCTTGAATCATCGTTCCAAAACTCAAAATTTCACAAATGTGGGTGAAATTGATTTCACTTCCCAAAAATATTAGCTTAGAGTGGGTTCCTATTAAAACTGATATTGCTTGTTATCTCTTCAAAGAACTAACAGACATCTAGATGGCAGTTTGGGTCAGAAATGAGGTCTGTCTTTGAATGGCTATTGACATGCAACTAACGTCTTTGATGCTTCCTGTATCGATGAACCTAGAACATTTGAAGGCACATGTTACACATGTGGTTATCAATAGAAATAACTGCTCCAACAACAAAAATAGTGCTCCTCATACGTGGATATTTACAACAGGGAAGGGTACGGCTTTCAGGGAATTTTTTTTTCAGAGTTATCTTCCTTTTTATCTTCCAGGTACAATGTGCACGCCCCCTTGTGGCCAGAATGATATATTGCCTTTTCTAGATAGAGCTAATCACATCACAACTTGTTTGCCCCAGGATCATTTTAATTCATTCCACCAGCTTACAGTTCCAGTTCAGCTTTGGAAAAAAAAGTTTCCTTCCATTCATTCAATATCTTGTTTCGTTTTTTACCCCAGAAGTTTGCTGCTAAATCAAAACCAACTAGTTACCTAAAGGAGTTTTGTTTTATTCTTTGTTATTCGAAAAATCTTATAAAACTAAAACCTCCTACACTAGCACTTGGAGAACTCTTGAAAGCTAAAACTGCAGTGTTGGTGTAAGAAAGACACTGGAAGTTATACATCAAGTCAGTATATCTCACCAGAGAAAAGGGAAATGAAATGTTACAGGATGGAAATGCAATTTAATAGCTGAATGAACATTTGAGCGGCTTATTTCATCCCTAAGAAGAAAGGAGGAGAGTGGAGGCAACCCAGGTGGTTAAATTGTAATACAGTAGAAATTCTATCACCCATGAAAACTGTAATTGGGATTCCACTTTTGGATTTGGCCAGCCCAGAAACAGATGTGTGTTTCAATGAGAATCCCAGGCTCTACCTCCTCAAGAAATACTGTTCAGAGTTAAAACAGGGCTTTTCAACTAGCATATGCTCCAAAAAAGTGACTAGACTAAATTGACTGTAATTGTCCCAAGGTTTTTAGAATTCCCATGCTGGATTGGGGCTAAATGTGTGGTTCCGGTTATATGACCTTGAAGAGGAAGACCATGAGGTTGCTCCTACTTCTGCTCTGGGGGGTAGGGAGAGATATAAAAAGCAGGGAGAAAATGTCTTTATCAAGTTGAGATCCAAAGATTTGAACATAAGTATCTCAGCCATAGGGCATTTCCTCAGTGAGGCTAGAGATGGCAAGGTTAAGGTGAAGACCAAGTACCACTTTGTGCATAATTCTCTTCTATTTAGTGAAAGGAATCAAATGGTTCTCATTATATGGCCTGTCTGGGTGCACAAGTCTTTCAACTGAGCTCCTACGATGCATTCTGGCAAGATTCTAAATTCATATCATCCAAATAATACGGAGCAGGTAGCATTTCTTTTGAAAAGAAACTCTGGCCCATGTAATTCTAGCTAGAGAAGCTGGTGCCAAGAAATTGACAGTGAACGATACCCAGACCACAGTTGAATTCAATAAAGCTCCATCTTTTTAGAGGAGAAAAGAACAAGCAAATGGGAAAATGCCGTTGTCAGGAGTGAGGGCCACCAGCAGCTATCTAATTCCTGGTGGATTCCGGTGAACTGTGGAGAGCTGAAAGGACAAAGCCTATGATGAGTCAGGGTCTCTCCCATCCTTTTCTTTCCTGACCCAGAGAGACTTGACTCCCTCCCAAGACTGAGAAAACCAAATTCAACAACTCCATCCCTGGTCTGAAGGAGTCAGATTACCTTCTCTTGTCCTTCAGTCCTCTTCCTCTTGAGATGCTGGCTCTCCTTGCTACAAAGTAGCCACTTCTCCCAGGGAAGTTATTGCAACCCATTCTAAGTAGTTCCTCCAACAAGCAATGAAACAAAATCTTGTATTTAGTCACTGAAAGCACGAAGCTAGCCCTCTTTACAAATACAGTGTTTTCAGTAAACCCTTGTTGATCTATATCCATCCAAGAGAATAGAATGATTGAATGCGGTAGAAACTAAGAGGCTGGCGTGCAAGCAGCAGACACGCATTCCATAATTGTATGCACAGCACAGCTCCTCCCTGGGCTATCAATGAAGCAGAAACAAATCTTTTACTGAGAGAAGGTCATATGGGAGGTGACAAGAGCATCCATTCACCTGGAAGAACAGAGACAAGACTAGGAAGAAATATTGAGTTTTAGTTTGGATGACTATACTGTGTATTACTCCCACTCTTTCAAAACCACCAGAGGGCCATCTGAATGATTCTCTTTCTTTGTATGATTTTCTCTTTGATATGCCTTTCTATTTTTCAAGTTATTCTTAAAGTAAAAACAAAACACACATGGCTGCCCAGAGACAAACAGTCTGCGAATAGTGATTCTCTCTCAAATTATTCTACCCTCCATGGTGCTATAACATTGTATGGTGAATCTGCAATTCCTCTAGAGCTCCAGATGCACAGAGAACAAAACATTGTCTTTTAAATGGAATTCAAATCTCCCACCAATCTTAGAAATAATTCTCTGACCCCTTTTAACAGCAGAAAAAATTCATCTCCAGAGAAACCAAGCATAGGCAATGCCAGTCCTCCTACTGATGGTTCCTGGAGGCGTTACTACACTGGAAGAGTGCATCTCACAGATGGGAGTCAGTGGCTAAGGCAGGGTGGACTGCAGTCCTCTGACACCCTCAGTGGAGGAGGAACTGAAATCAGGTTCACTGGGAATCTTCATAGCCCCAGAATCAGAAGAGTTTATCCCTCAGTACTAACATAACAGGAAAAGCCAAAGCCTATTGTTGTTGTGACTACTGTGTGCCTCCCTTATATACAGCCCGCCCAGAGCCCAAAATGCTGAAGACTCACCTTTATCACAGGCTTTCAAAACAATGTGGGAAAGATCTAGATCTGAGAAGTGTTTCTCTTTGCAGGTGGAACTTAAGAAAAACAAAAGTCTCTGTCTGTCATCCTGAGTTGGATTTCAAGAGTCTCCCTCCCGTCTTTTATGCCTAAGCAGCTTACACACTGGTTGGGAATGCCAGGAAACAAGAGGTGGTGACACTCAGACGATGGTGACTGCAGTAGAAAAGGTTGCAATGTCTACACCAGTTTAAGCAAGTCAGTCCTGCTCCAGAAAGCAAGAAAGGACCTCTAAAGCTCAGTGCCAGGATTGCTGGATTAGATGACGATGCACCCATCTAAGTGCATGGAGGATAGCTGAAGTCACAGAGGCCCTGCTACTTCTTCACACTTCCCTCCCAGTCTCCTTAATACCCACTTCTCTACAGGCTTGTGGAAAGCTGGCTACATTGTCTCTGGAGCCCAAGTCCCAAACCTGACTCTTAGATGAGATGAGATTCTGTCATTCATTTCAATGCCCAAGCTCTGTCTTCATAACTCGCTGTGTGGTCCATAAAAAATTAATCCAGCACTATCCCTCTATATTTCTATCTATAAAATGCAACATTTTAAAGCCAAGAGACTTTAAAACATGAAAAAGGCTTCTGTGTAAAGAAAAGTGTCTACTGGTTTACGACCAGTCAATTCAACAGGTACTATTAGTTTTTAAACCCAGTGAAAATTATTTCCCACTGGTCCTACGGATGAGAATACAGCAGACAGCTGCAGCAGACAGTGCCACTTTTCGGCAATAACTCAAAAGTCTCTTCCCTGGTTTCAGAAAGTCAAACACTGTGAGGGAGGAGGAGAAACAATCAGCCAGAAACTCCTTTGTAGTTTAAAAGCACTTGATTGTTTGGTAACCTGAGATAATTTCCTTTAGCTTTTGGAATGCTAGAAAAATCCCTGTTGTTGCTCCCTGCCTTTTTCCCTTTAAGAAGTTACTTCATTTTAGGATGGTTTCTACAACTGCTTCTGCAGGTCTCTAAAGCAGAGCTGGCATTTCCTGGGCTCTTATCAAGCTGGTCCTGAAGAGGAAAGGGAACCACCATCCCATCAATCTGCAGAAGCCACTGACAAAGGTCCCTATGTAGGACACCTTTTTTTTCAACATCTGCCTAAGCTGGTCAGTGATGGATCAAGAAAATCAAAGAAACCCCTCTAATAATATGTATCCTGGGATGGTAGATGGGGGAGTTCAGTGTGAGCACAATACACTGCAGAGGACACAGACTTTCTCCCTCACCAAGCGAGGTTCAGACTTTCCTTTATTCAAAGGCAGCCACGTTTAACAGGTGATGTCAGACTCTCACCAGTAATAATATGTTTATGACCACAAAAAAATGCATTATACACTGAGTCCCACCACCAGTGTGCCTGAACTTAGAATTCAGTTAATAGCCCTGGTTCCCAGCTCCAGCAGACACCTCCTGGGTTCCTGGGTTTTTTCCCAACCCCTATTCCTTGCAAACCAGAGGCCAGAAGGAACCTTGGTCCTTTGAAGCAGTTTGTTTTTCAAAATTAACAAATGTACTGAGCCTCGAACACCCAAATAACACTGGTGGCTTTGCTGTTAGATTAGGCACTTGGGTGGAAAGGACTAGAACACCATCAGCCCCAGCGTCCCTTTTCTCTATCCTGTCTTCTTTTAGGTGATAACTCAGAAGCAAAGCCAGCCCAGACACTGGGCACAGAAAAAAAGAAAAAGATTTCCAAACAATATTCGGGATTGGGGACAATTCAAGGAAGTTGTAATCTGGCTTGTTACTATAAAAATACATAATAAAGGGTTTCGGCTTCTTCACTCCTAGGTTCAATCCCCACTTCCTTAGGACTGTGGGTTCTCAGAGGAGTCAGGAGTATAGAGGAGGGATAGGTCCTTGGAGAGTGCATCGAATCTTTCCACATTGGAAAAGTACAATCAGGGAAGCTGTATAGGTGAAGACGACTTGACCTTTTATGGTGAGAAAAGTGAAAAAGAAGAGAGACTAGGATACTGGCAAAAAAAGGGGGGGTGCAGAAGGAGATTGAGATAGAGGAGGGAAGAGGGAGAAGAGGAAGAGGAAGAAGAGGAAGATGGATATAGATGGGGGGATAAAAATTTTAAGTTGAGGCTGTGAATGCGGAGTCTCTGTCCCAGCTAGGATGGTTAAGAGGATGCAACCATCTAAAGCAAAGGTTCAGAAAAGCCTTAAAGATCCCAGGGGCTTATTGAAGAAGTGCAGCAGCGGGACTGGCAGAGGCAGGCTGGGGCCGGGGCAGTGCCGGCCCCAGCTCCGTGTGTCCAGACAGAGGATCAGTGAGCTGAGTCGTTGGCCTGTGGCTCTTCGAGGGGGCAGCCCCTAGGAGGTCGAGGCTGGGATGGGCAGTCCGTGTAAGCTACCAAGTGCGTCTGTAGCCTTGCCGCCTGGGCTGGGGGGCTTCCTGTCGGCCCCTGCGGAGGAAGCAAAGGAGCATCGGGTCACTGCCCAGAGCCTAGGCAGTGGAGCAGGACGCCATTATGTCATGGACTGGGTTCCCTGACCCTTCCAATGCCTGGAACCAGTAAAGCTCATCCTTCCTTGTGCTCTTGAGAGAGCCGCAAGATGGACTAGGATTTCCTCACCAAGCGTTCACTCCTGAAGATGGCCATGGAGTTCCGTGAAGGTCTTCAGCTCCTAAGGAGACTTCAGAATATGGCCAACCTGGTGCTGACACCCGCAAAACATGTCTTCCCGACCCCCACCCATTGATCCACTCCAGATGCCAGTGGGATGAGCAGGTGCGAGGGCTGGAGGTAGGTGCGGTGTGGAAAATGCACTGCCAAACATTCCTGGGAGCCTCAGACATGCACCAAGGTATCCTTTTAGGTAAGCAGCGGGAATTCTGCAGACACAGCCCACCCTGAGCCCTATGGGTCTCCGGGATAAAATGGCTGGCAGCGGGTTTGCCAGATGAGGCGGTATTCTCGGCATTGCTCTATTATTTGGGGTTTGGGAAGGGGCCCAAGATTTGCTACTGGAAGCCAGAAAGTGATGCCACGATTGTGCAATCCTGTTTTTTCTCTCCTGGGATCCCGGTGCAGCCTGTCCTGCACCAGGAGGAAAAACGAATAAATTCTAAAGGGGCGCGTTTTCGATTTACCTTCCCTTCCTACTACAACGAGTTCCCCTCGAAAGCCTCAATTCTATTCGGATGAGAGGTAACTCTGACTTGCCAGCTGTCCTCCCAGCCCTAGGCTTAAAGTGTTGTGACTGTTCTACCTGAAATTAACAGTACACGGAAGGAAAACACACACACACACACACACACGCACACACGCACGCACGCACGCACGCACGCACGCACACGGTTAGTGAAAGATTTTGAAGAGCTATAAAGCCTGCACAACCAAGAATCCAGGCTTCTTTCACTTGGTCCACACACTTCAAACGTGAGGAACTGTTTTAAAAACATCTGAGAAGGAAGTTTCTCAGGCAAGAGTAAGTTACCTTAGAGACAAGCAGAGAAAAATAAACACCCGGGATCCAGGAGAGGGATTCCATCCCACCTCGGCAAAAAATTTTCCTCAGCTTTCATCTCTGTCTCAGAACCCCTCCCTTTTTTGGTAGTCTGTGGGGCCTGGGAATGTGGGTGTGTACGTTCTGGGGACCTCCAGCAAGGGTCACTTGGCATACTTTAATCTATGGGAGCACAACTAGGGTGGACGTCTTAAAAATACTAGGATTACAAGTATGGTATAACAGGACCAAGGGAGCCTCAGAGTTCCACCAAGCAAAAGAAAAAGGCTAGCCAGGAGCTGCATGGTTTGCAATAGCTTGCTACTCATCAGTGACACAATTCTCTTTTGGTATCCTACAAGCATTAACTCTGGATCAGCAATAAACAGAATAAAATTACAAATTCCCTTTAACAACTATAAATAGCAAATTTTCCTTGTTCAAGTTTTTTCACTGGAAGCCAAAAAGTGATGCTCCCAGATTTGATTTCCAAATACACCCCCTTCCTTTTTTTAAAACCTCCTGGGAGCAGTTTTAGAACACTAAAGGATTGCTGGTTTCTGAAATGTGCTTTGAATGCCTGTTGCCTTGAGAGGGGGTAAGTTGTAAGGGTCTGTCACCTTGGGGAGGAAAGTCCTGGCACAAAGTCCTTTGGATGGATGTGAATATTCTTCAAAATCCCACACCACGTTGTAAAGAGTATAAAGTTTCCTTACACTCCTCTCAGTTGCCAAGAATTAAAGTTCCCTTTCGGGAGATGGGAGACAACACTGCTTCTACTTTCTTCCCTGCATAGGATGGAACCTTTCACCAAGACAAAAGTACTAAATTGTGAAGCATAAGCTGATATTTGAAGTTCCAGACTGAATGATCAGTGCGATGCCCATTTGAAGGTAACTCGAAGGACACTCCAGTGTAAATTTTATTATAAATCGTTTTCATCAAAATAATTTGATTTTTAATGAGTATATTTATATTCATATGAATATGAACTCATAATCTCCACAATTTTTATTAAAAGTTAGCTAAATATTATAAACCTGTTATTATAAATTGAACAAAAGTTAATAGTAAGAAATTTATGGAGTAGGTTTCTTTGAAGACATTAATTGCTTAAGAAATTGTTGAAAATAAGTGGCACTGTGTTGTATACCTTTGTCTTGACCTTTCAAAGACCAGTTAGGAAGCAATCATTGAAATTATACACTAAGGGAGTGTATAATTCTCATACTTCAAAAATAGGTGTTCAGTGAACAATTTTTTTACAATCCTTGAACAGACATGCTTGCATGCCAGCATGAGAAATCATTTGTCAAGATGGGTGTGAATAATTCCTTTAATCGATTTTTTTCAAAGGAACTTTTTGAGTCAGGACATTAACTTACTAATTTAATAGTCAGCATAGCTAACTCAGTTGTAGGTTTTGGAAATGGGACATTTTATTGTAGGAAGCAGATACAATAGTCACAGAGACGGGACTGTCAGTGAGAAGCTCTGTGTTTCTAAAAAGGAGTTGTCTGATAAAGAAAATCAGCAGAAATAAACCCAAATGCAGATTCCTGTCCATGTAGACTACAGAACTTTAAAGTCAGTGCATGTGTGATCACCTTTAGATGGTATCCATACTCCTTCACCTGTTTATAATGCGGGGCTGGAAGCACCCTCGGACCAAATGACCCTTCTAAAAATGAACTACTTCCCTCTGAAATCAAAGAACTCTTAATTTTCCTGGGCCTTCCTTCTCCTTGGGATAAACCCAGGAGAAATCACTCAAATTCATGGCTATACTTACTTAATTCAAGTAAGCCTGCTAAGTTAAGCACTTTACAATAGTGTGTCAAATTTCATTCAAATACCCATATCAAAAGCCCTGCGTTTCAATGGGAGAAGTGGAGGATCTGAGTGAAATCTCACACTGTGACCCTTTAGCTATCCTTAAATGTACAGCTATTGGGAGTTCATAGTCTCCGTTTTGGAATTACTTCTTGGATTTTCCTGCAAATAAGCAAGTAGTATTATCCTATTATTTAAACTAAATTAAAATAAATTATTCGGCTCCTTCAGTTTTCTGCACTTGACTTTCTGAATAATTAGGCAAATGAGCATTATCTGAATATCCTAGTGAATGTTCTGTAAAACATATAAAAATTTTAAAGCTATTTTCTTCCTTCAGTTCACTCCTGTGGATGGTATCCTAGTCCTCCCTTCTGGCACCCGGATCCTGTCACCGTGCCCCACTAAAACTTCTTGGAAATAGCTCTTTTTGTCTGGGAACCACCATCATCTGCCTGGCCATGGCCACCAACCCCCCACTGTCACCCCCCTCCAGCCTTTGTAGGTATGAAACAGATAAGGTAGTTCCTTTCCTAAGCCCAGAACATCCATCTGACCCCTAGGGTTTATGCGCACAGGAGCCCTTTCTCTGCTGGAACTGCCTCCCCATCAGAACAATGAAGTTTAAATATTCTGGTGATCAGAACCTAAATATAGTCAGGTTCGTAAGTGGCAGTTTAGGATCAGGTGAATTATTTCCCAGGTCCAGTGAAAAATAAGAACTCCCTGGACAGTGTGGTTTAATCCATACTGGCCCTATGGTTTGAATCTCTTGGTTGACTTTTGGGGGGAGCAGATTTAGAGGGGAGGATGATGAGTTTCTATGTCAGAGTGCTCTGGGAAAGAAAGAACCTGAACTTCCGAAGACCAAAGCTGAATGCTGGCCATTTCCCCCAGAGAATGTGCTGAAGAAAATAATCTGAGACCAGGGCCAAGGTTAAAGGGGAACTAGAAAGAAACAGACTGATGGGACCAAAGAGGGGTCCAGGTGCAGAGGACAGGAATGCTAATGGCAGGTATACTATAGAAAGCAACATTTTGCAGACTACACAAATGTGGGCCTGGGAGGCGTTTTAGACCATTCTTGGAATGGAAAAACCTGAGACCAGGGAGGAGCAGTAGCGATTTTACCAACGTGGCAAGAACTCCCTTCACACCTGAAGTCTAGTTTACCAGCCCGGCTCTCTTCCTTGTCTCTCAATATGGTTAAAGCAGGCGTTTTAAGGATTCTCCCAGTCTCCCTGTGTCTTTTCTTAGGTACACCTGCTAGAGATCAATCTGCCACAAGTTGCTGCATGGTTAAAGTATAATTCAGGTTTATTTCTAGTATTCTAATGTCTCTATCCTCCCTCTCTCTTCTCTCCTTCCCTCATTTTTTCCTCCCTCACCCCCCCTCCTTCTCTCTATCTCCCAGGCTTCTCTCCCCACTTCCTAACCCCTCCAATATCCTGACACCTCCCAGATGGTGTCCCCTCACCTTCTCGGCTGGGGTGTTTGAAGGTCATGGCAGCTGCAAGCTCCCCGCCGTGAACGGCCACACCAGCTCCGTGGGGCGCCAGCGGGGGTCCCTGGGCTGGCGGCCAGGGAGGTCCCGGGGAAAGGTAGCTGGCTGCAGGAGCGCTGTACACACTGTGCTGGTTGGAAGCCGGGTAGGCGCAGGCGGGAAGAAAGCCACCCACTGCGGAAAGGCTGGATGCGGACTGCAGATAGACACAGATTGTCAGAAAACCCGCCGACTTCTCCAGCACAGGCCACGTTGAAGCGTGGACTCTGCTGTCCCATCGCTTGCCTCTGTTCTGGGACTCCCTCCCTAGATTTCTAAAAGTCTACTCCGGTGATAGAAAGTGAGGAAGTCGCGGTAGCCACCTTTAGGGTTTAGGCAAAAGGGGGCTTTCAGTCTTGTTTGTCTGTTTTTTAATCACAAGGCAAGGCAGTCTCCTGCCCTCCAAAGCCAGACTGCTGCAAACTAGGACCGCCGGACTTGAGGACAGCACTGAGCCGCTGAAGACCGCTCTGCTCAAACGAAAAGCCTGGGAGACAGTGCTGTTCTTTCTCTATGTCTCCCTTCCCCAACCCTTCCTCTGCGCCCCCCAACTCCCCGCCCAAGGTCATCTCCTACCCTGCATTCTGGTTACCTGAGTATATTTAATGTCTGCCTCCAAGGCAGGTTTCTCGAGCCCATTCACTGTCGGTGAGGCGGGGAAGGCCGCTCGGTTCACACCCGCCCAGTCTTCCATCTTGGGGGAGTAGGCAGCGCCTTCGCCCCCAGACAGGGCCCCTGCAGGAACGCAGATGGAGTGGAAACCTGTGCACTCCTGAAGATCTCCAGTCCAGACGTTTGCAAAGGAGCCAAAGACTCAACTAGAATCCAAGGGTGCTACCACACATACCAAGGCCTTTCTTTGGAGGGATAAGGGAGGCAGGGCCAGGCACTTTGCTTTCATTCAGAGCAGGGAGCAGGGAGGAGAGGGCCTGCCCTTCATTTCCCCCAACCTTTGGCCCGCTTCCTACGAAAAGCTCAATCAAAGGCAGTTCCTCCTACGCTCAGAAGTGACAACCAGAAAGTTCCAAATTCAGTGCAACTTCACTAAAATTGTGTAAGCCTCTGCATGTCTTAATTATCATCTAAAGGGCTAAGAGTTCATTTTGACCTGAGACTGCCTCTAAGGACATTCTTGGTCTCCCAAATGAGGCAACAACTCTGAGACCCACACCAGGATATCCCCGGGAACAGAACTGTTCCCAGTTCAGGTGTGTGTCCCAGCAAGGAAAGGTTCCAGTGCGGGCATAGGCATGGTAGTCACCTCCCAACCTGTTCTCTGTTGCTCCACGAGAAATTTTGGTTGGTGTTATTCTAGTATAGAGCCACCAGTGAACAGAATGCAAAACCTCAGAAATCAGGGCTAAGTCCTCCACTCTCTTCAGCTTGTTTCTCCTAGACTGCTTACTGTCCTCTGGAGTCTGCTAGATTCCTTGGGAAAAGGAAACGATGCTTCTAGAAAACACCCATATGTATCATCCTAGGCAGGGCACCAAAGTTGCCTGAGGAAACTTCCAACCTTTTCCACCCGAAAAAAAAAATACCAACATTTGGTTGAATTTTAATGACAATCAAAGCACAATTCCTAGCGACTGTTCCTGAAGAGAATGGGGCATCATTACCTCTATTCTAAGAACAGGACTTGAAAGACCTCTGAACCTGACAGAGATCTGGGCCACATCTAAAAGAAAAACTGACCACGGGGGCTCTTTCTCTTCTACTCAACAGAGCTTCTGGGCCTGCGTTAGCTCCTGAAGGAACCTGAAAGCTAAAGACAGAGCGGTGCACAATGTCCCTAGTGGTTTGTTTGGCTTAGATTTGGCGATAGGCATTTGCATTCTTTTTGCAAGAATGAAAAAGTGCAATTTCAAGCCTCCGATTTTGTGGTCTGCGCCTGCTCTTCTATTTGGGAAATATTTTCCATATTTGTCATAAAAAGTTCAAGATGTCCGAAGACTCCCACAGAAGGTTCTGGACCCCCAGCTTCTGTGACCAGTCCTGAACTATTCTCTGAACTAAAATCAGTCCTAGGGAAAGAAAGGCATGCAACACCTCGCTAGTCTTCCCGCCCCCAATTCTGTCCCTTTGTAGAGAATTACAGAGGACATCACAACTGACCTGTTTGCTCCATAAACGTCCGGATGCCCAAGATGTTGCTGACTGAATGTGCAGAGGGCCATGAACGCGGGATGCTGACGTGGCCCGCGGAGCCGGGGACCCCAGGATGGCTGCCCATCTTGGTGCCCGTGGGCGACACTGGGCTGGGGTAGGGGTACTGGTAAATATGATTGTAGGGCAGCGCAGGCTGCGGTGGCGGCTGCTTACTTGCTTCGTAGGGCCCTGGCTGCGCCAAGCTGCCAATCTTGTTTCGCAGGATGCGACTAATAGAGCTCACAGAGGGCACGTTATACTTGTCACAAACGCCATCAGCCAGGAGCCGGTCACGAATCTCCCAGGCAAAGATGCCAGGGTCTCCCTGCTTGTAGTCCCGGATGTGCTTCACTACGTTGGGGGTGGTGACTCGGGGTTTGCTGCCCCCAATTGCCCCGGGCAGGATGGAGCCGGTCTCGTTATAGCGCGCCAGGATCTTGCTCACGCAGCCGTGCGAGACCCGCAGTTGCCTACTGATGTCACAGGGTCGGATACCCAGCTGTGCTAGCTCCACGATGCGCAGGCGGATGGCATTGGGAAGGGGACGGCCGTTGACGAACACGCCACCGAGCTGGTTCACTTCGCCGTACGTCTGCTCTGCGGAGACGCGCCGAATAGGAGTGAGTAGGCAGAGAAGAAAACACCGGCAGGTTAGCCATGAGTGTCCTAGCGGGCCGATGTACTGTGCACCCTAACGCCACTCCAAGGTAACCTGCAGGTCCACCCATACCCCTGACAGCACAGATCCTGAGGGAAGAGAGGGGTACATGCTGGCAAGAGTCAGGACCAGAGGCAAGTATTATGCGCTTCAGCCCTCCCTCCCCTCTCGCGACTTTGGTCAAACGTTCTCACCTCCTCCCAGAACTTAAGAGACTGTCCCCTCGAGGACCGAGTACGTCAGAGAACGCGGCTACTGAGGGAGCAGGCCGTTTTGCCCAGGGAAAGAGGATCATGAAGAAGGCAGACAGAGAGTGTCAACCCAGCTCCGCTCCCGCCCTGCCTCAGGCTCGCCCCTTACCCATCGCGCGCGGGCCGGCCAGCTGCCTGGCGCCGGAGCGGCGGTGGCTGGGCCCGGAGCAGTCCGGGAGAGCTCGGGCGCCGCCACCGCCGGAGAGGCATAGAGGGAGGGCGCGCGCGAGCCGAGGGCCGCGGCGGCAGGAGACGCGCAGTGAGCTGCTGCCCAGCGCGCCGCCCGCCCCAGGGCCCACCGCTGCAGCCGCCGCCGCCTGCTCCCAGGACACTCTCCAGGCCCGCGACCCCAGGCCCAAGGTGAACTTCATCCGATTGGGAGAAATTCGTCTGACCGGGAAGCTGTGGGGTGCGAGAATCAATTTGACGTGTCCTCCACGTCAATCTCTTCAGTCACGCAGGAGACTCACGAATTGGCAGCTCATTGGTTCCCGTCACCGCTCCCTAGCGTCCCCCTCCCCGCCCAGAAACTCTACCCCACCTCCTAGCTCCAGGCTTCCCCCTCCGCCTTTCTCCACTCCCTCCGGAACCCATCCCCCTACTCCTCCCCCTCCCCCACACCAAGAACACACATCATCCCAAACCTAGCTGAGCCAGATCCTAGAAACATCCAATCTCCATTGCCTTTTGCCGCCTCTCTAACATACTTTATGGAAGTTGTTTCAAATTGACCACACATTAATTTTACAATCACTTCTCCACCATTACTAATAACCTTTCGGAGGATAGACCTTCACCCGGGCAAGGTGTTTTAGTGTATTCACCACCTGCTGCCCTGAACAGAATAAGAGACAAGGCGGGTGGGTGCAGCACTCAGGAAACTGCCAAAATGAAAAGAAAGAGGAGTCCAGTTTGCTTGGGGCACCTGGAAAAGATGGTTTCTGGTGGCTTGTGGGGCCGAGGCTCCCATGTCTCACTTCAGTCTTACTGTGTCCATCCTGCTTTCAAGAAAGCCTAACGACTTTCCTTTGGAGTGATATGAGGTGATATCAATGACCCAAGCGGGCGCATTCCAGATTCTGTCTCTAATGACAAAGCCCACCCACCAGAACTCAGTCTCCAAGAACTGGCACAAGGAGCAGGCCAGAAAGAGTCCGGTTTGCTACTTCCGGCCCCCAGCAATCTGGCAATCCGCAAAATGCCTGATGACCGCTGAGCTCCTGTCCTAAATCTACACAGTCCCTTTCAGGCAGGCTATGAAGCCCCGCACCACTCTGCTCTGCCCTGTACCTGTCTGTCTTTGCCTTTCACTAGTACCAGCAGTTCTGCTAAATCCCTCAGCGGCCCTTTCCCCACCTAAGGCAGTTTGCACAGTCCCCGAGTCTTTGACACTGGCATTTAAAACTAGCTCCTCCACTCGGAATCAAGGCACAGTTCTGGGCTTCCCAACTGGTCTTGATATCTGCAGCAACCACTAAGCAGCAGGGTGGTGGTGGTGGTAGTGGTGGTGGTGGTGGTGGTGGTGGTGGTGGTGGTGGTGGTGGTGGTGGTGGTGGTGGTGGTGGTGGTGGTGAGAATCATATAATTTTGCATTTGAACTGGAGCCAGGGGGCCGAGACCTGGGAGTCTCCAGGTGAGCCAAGTAGAGACAGCTTTGGGCTGGTCACAAAACAACAGGAAAGAGAGCCTGGTGGGAACTCAGAAACAGCCATAACCTGGAACTTCCAAGGAGTCTAAACACCCCTCTGCACCAACACACATCGCTCCATGTTCTAGCTCTTCCGAGCAGCCTGGAAACTGCTTGCTCCACAAGTGCAGTGAGACTGTTCAAGGCTCCCTGCAGACGCATAGCTTCATAGCTTCAGGAGCCTCTTTGGAGTCCCTGACCCCATTGCTGCCGCATTTTCAGGAGAGGGGAGTGTAATTTAATAGACCTCAATCAACCTATGCAAATGTGTGTTAAAAGGACCTGAGCCATAAATTCTGGGCTCTCCAAGGAAACTGTACAACATCCAGCGAAATCATGTTGGAGCCATGGCAAAAGAGAAAAAGGGAGGGACGGACAGATGGAAGGAAGGACAGATGGAGGGATGGAAGGACAGAGGGAGGAACAGAGAGAGGATGGAGAGATGGCAGTTTCAAAAGAATTGAAGACACTTTTCTGTCTAGCAGCCCATAGAACACAGTGCAGCCCCAGGCCCCGAGAGTCTCAGTGAGATTGCTGAAATGTGGAAGAGCTTTAGGGGATCAATGCACCCTAGAAGGTGACCCCAGCGTGAGAACAGTAACCTCACTTGGAACACCAGGCCTGTCCAGAACAGAGCAGCCTTCCAGTAAAGATCTAGGGAACAATGTCGATTAAGGTGGACATGCTGGGCAACAAGCTGAGGAACATGAGTGCACAGAGCAGTTCTTTGAAGCTTTGGGGTGTCAGGATACCTCACCGTCAGTTCTCTCTAGATGATTAAGGATTTGGTACCCTCTAACGTAGAGGCTCATTTCCAGGATTTCTAGACAGACAAGGGATACCAAGAAACGTGTAACCATCCACCGTGGACTCTCCCCGGTGTGAAACACAGGGCTTCTGTCCCTGGTCCCTTATCCGGGTGCATCCCAGATGTTCATCACCGTAGCGAAGGGCTGCAGGTGGGTTGTCCTTAGGCACTGTCAAAGAGAACCTGAAGCAAACCTTGCCAGTATGACAGCACTTTCGACCCAGCTACCTTTTTGTAAATTTGCTCAGCCCGCGTGCTTCGCTGGCAAGATAGTGCAATCCAGACAGCACCAAACTCCCTAGGGAAAGGCGGCCCCGTGATGCAGGACAGAAGGTAGAGGGGAGACTTAAGGGATCACACTTGGGGCCAGCGACTTTCTGGCGTTAACAGAGCCTGCTAGCCTTCCCTCCACCAAGGTTCCCTCCCCAACAGTCAGAAGCGGGTCTGGGCTACACAGCGGTCAATCCTGCTGGGCTTCGGGGAAAACCTTACAGTTTGTCGCCCCCTGTCGGGTCGGGTCCCGGCTTGGTTGCGCAGGTTCCCGCGCTGCGGACGGGATGGGATGGCTGAAAGGTTGGACTGCGGAAGGCAAAGTTCCTCCTCGACCTTCTGGGTTGTAGCTTGGTCATCTCCACTGCTCCGAGTCCGCTAATGGTCCAGGAGGTGCGCAAAGAGGTAAGAAAACATATAGACTCCGCATTGGAGCTTGGTAAAACAGTATTGCCTGTGCTAAACCCAGCGTGCAACGAGTGAGCAGTGGTTTCTAGGAGCGCGGAAACCCGGCTCAGCAAAAGCCTCCTCCACCTGGCGCTGGATGCACACCGGGACAAAGGACCAAGGTGAGGTCCTTAAGGGATCCTAAGACCTGTCGCAGTTATTCCAAGGCAGGAAAGGGTAGCGGCTTGCTAGGTGGTGCAAGTTAAAGAGGAGGCCATAAAGAAAAGTGATTGTCTTTCTGGGGACTGGAGGTTGGTTGCTGACAAAGTCGCTAAGAAATATTCTGCCCATTTGTCACCAGAACTGTGAATGCAGGACCTGAACGCTCAGGCTGAGTGAATCAGTTTCCCTCCTTCACTCCGTGGCATCACCTTGATTTTTGATGGGATTGTGGGGGGTAGTTATTAGGGTGCAAACGAAGCATACAACGGGCTGATTGTTCCCCGGGACCCACGCATTTAGGAGAAAACTAAACAAGCATGTGAAGTTAGATTCTGACCCTGCGGGTGCGCGATTTGATTATGCTGGGAAGAAACCCACGTTGCTTTCGCCTAGAAGCCCGAAGTAGCCTTGGTCGAATCTCAGCACGCCTCGGATTTCCAGCTGCCTAGTCCACCAGCCGCCATCGGGAACTGGCAGAGGTGGGTTTTGCCAGTCTCTCTTGGCTCAGGCTCTGCATTTTCGCCGTTTTATGAACACTGGGAGATACGTTGCACGGTTCGAAATTAAAACAAATCGAATCCCTTTTCTTCTAAAATTCGCTTTAAAATACAACACAAATTACAGAATGCTTTGTGTAAGGAGGACTCAGAAGGGCAGCCTTACTTACTCTACAACGACAAGGACAATTTTACAAAGGACAATTTTAACACTACACAACACTTAAAAGTAAGAAAACAGATTTATTTATTTATTTATTTATTTAAAGTATGAGTTGTGGCCAGGTGCAAGAAAGCGTCTGGAGAAAAAGAAGAAACAGGAGAAGAAGGAGAAGGAGAAGAAGATTGCAAACCCTCGGGGACCACCCGAACTGGAAACCAGAGGGAACAGGGAGAATGCAACGAACTACACCGAAAGTGACTGAGGTGGGAAAGGGCAGGCTGGGGAGAAGGGGGAACACAGATTAATTGACACCAGCAGCGGTCAAGTCAGCAGGAGACCTGTGCCCTCCCCACCTTAGCAGTCAGAGGAACCAGCGCCTGCTCCTGCTCCCACCCCCCAAAGCACACTTCCCAGCTCCCTAAGAGTAAGGAGAGGATCGCTGTGGCAGCAAGAACAAAACCCACTGCTACACGCTCGCTCCATCCCTCAGGCCCCACCGACAGATTCCCGCGGCTGGCTTTCACCTGGCCTGCTAGTGTCTGCCCAGCTCTTTGCCGAGGCTCGCTTTATGCTTTACCTCTGCTAGCCTAGAAAAGTCGGAGCAACAGGCCTGAGTCGACCGGAACTGTTTCAACCAACTTTGGTTGCTCACAGTGCCCTTGAAAATGCAGGATGAGAGAAACGAAGGAAAGAAAAATAGTTTTTTCCAGTTTCTTCAAATGAAAGTAGTAAATAAGGACAGATAACTATTTTGCAGGAAAAAAACAGTCTTGGATCCTCCATTAGGTTCTGAGACTAGAGGGGAAATAGCAGAAAATAGATTTACTGTTCAAGTCCATTAGAAACAAACAGGGGGAAATTGGGCATGACCAGTGAAGATCTAAGACACTTCCTGCTTTGAAATGTAGGGACCCGACTACTATATTTGCCATTTAGCTTTCAGAGTTTCAGAGTGGAAGCATCAAAGGTTGCATTGGGTGATAAAAAATAAACTCCGAAAGTCAGTGAGGCTTTTTTGTTTTTTGGGTTTTTTGCGGGTGGAGGCAGGAAGCGGGTAGTTTCTCTGAGCTTTTGAAGGAGCCTGCCATTCGTTTATGTAAATCTTGTTCTTGGTTTATGTAAATCCTAACCTGACCAAAATCCTGACTTCTTCATGTTGTATACCTCCCCAACTTCTCTGGCAATGGGCATATCACATAAGCGTCAGTTTCTCTCTGTGTAAAGTTACCTACATTATGCAATTAGATTTATTTCATCTCATTACATCACACACACACACACACACACACACACACACACACACACACACCGCCGCCGCCGCCACCACCACCACCACCACCACTACCACTTATATCAAATCGAAGAACACTCAGGGC